TTTATTTCAGAATCCCCTTCCCCTCCCCCATTTCTGAAGAAGGGTCTAGACCCGAAACGTCAGCTATCCTGCTCCTCTGATGCTGCTTGGTCTGCTATGTTCATCCAGCTCAAACCTTGTTATCTCTTTATTTGAAATCACAAGCTTTCAGAGCGCTGCTTCATCTGACAAAGCAGCAGCGCACAGAAAGCTTGTGATTTCAAATAAACCCGTTGGGCTATAACCTGATGTTGTGTGATTTCTGATCTCGACCACCCCAGTCCAACACCGGCACCTGCACATCATTACTGGAACTGTACAAGGCATTGGTGAGATCTCATCTGGAGTACTGTGAGAAGTTTTGGTCCCTTTATTTAAAGAAAGATATTTCATTGGAGGCAGTTCAGAGAAGATTCACCAGGATGACACCTTTTTCAAATTCATTCACAGGATCTGAGCATTGCTGGCTAGCCCAGCATTTAGTGCCTATCCCTAGATGCCCAGAAGGCAATTAAGAGTCAACCACATTGGATGTGGAAACACATGTACTCCAGACCAGGTAAGGATGGCACTTTCTTTCCCAAAGGCCATCACTGAACCAGTATAGATTTTTCCCCAACAATCGACAATGAATTCATGGTCATCATTAGACTCTTAATCCCAGATTTTTATTGAATTCAAATTCCACCATCTGCCATGGCGGGATTCGAACCCAGGTCTCCAGAACATTCCCTGGTTCTCCGGACTAACAGTCCAGCAATAATACCACTAGGGAATTGTCTTATGAGCAGAGGTTGAACAGGTTGGAACTCTACTTATTGGAATTTAGAAGAATGAGTAGGGATCTCATTGAAACAAAGTCAAAATCATTTCATGTGAGATCATTTTTAAAATGAATAATTCAATCTTTTGTATTTGTCAATACACAATCAGACTCTCAAGGGGCTTGACAGGATATATATTTCACCCATTAAGAGAATCTAGGGCTAGAGGGCATAGGCTCAGAATACAGGAGGCTGCCAATTTAAGACCGAGATGAGGGGGAATTTCTTAGAGTGTTGCGAGTTGTGGGGAGCAGAGTTCTTGTGTATATTTAAGGCTGAGATAGAGAGAGAGATTCTTGATCAGTAGGGGAATCAACGGTTACAGGGAATGGGCAGGAAAGTGGACTTGAAGAATTTCAGATCAGCCATGATCCTATTGAATTTCACAGCCTACTACAATTCAAGTGGTGAAGATGAATAGAGTTGATGCCATTGAAAGTGAAGCTAGATAATGGCATGAGAGGGAGCACAGCATAATACAAAGAAGAATTGAATGACAAAGAAAAAGTAATATGGTAATGAGGGTTAACTGAATAAAGATGCTGGTGTGGAGCATAAACAGTTTAAGGGCCCAATGGCCCGATTTTGCGCTGTAGACAACACAAAATACCACATCAGCAATATCCGAATTCTCAATTAAAAGTTTTAAAGAAATTTACTACGCAAGACCAATTCTCATCAAATATTATTTGAACAAAGTCAAAATCATTTCACATTAGATCGTTTTTAAAATGAATAATTCAATCTTTTGTATTTGTCAAACGAAATGCTTGGCAAAATACACTTCATAGCTTTATTTTACGTTGCTTGATTCTACAGGAAAAACGTACGTTTCTCGGTTTATTTTAGAATACCTACAATATTATTTTGCTGTTAACCCACAGAAAATAAGCACCTGGTTCCGAAAAGGTTCCCTTCTTTGAAAATGGTTCTACGCGTTCAGGGAAATTGATGATAAAACCGCAACCTGTTGCGACATTTAATCTTCATTAAATGATCCGGATTAAACGGAGAGTGGAAATCCGGATTGCTCTTACCTCCCTGGAGGCTGCCAGGAGCCCCGTGTCGCTGAGAAACCACACCAGAAAATACTCTCTTTCGAGAAACTCCGACAAGAGTTTTTGGTTCTCTTTGCTCGCAATGAATTTGACCCATTTGTCAGCTCGGAGTCTCAACGAGTAGATGATCCAACCCGCGATATACTGCACCTTCTCGTCTTCTCCGAAACTCTTATCGTGGTTTTCTTCACCTTCTTCAGCCATTTCCTCCACTCTGATTTTTTGGCCGGACTACTTCCAACAATTTAGTTTTCAGTCAAATCGAGCCTTGTTTATTTTCACTGCGTTTCCAACTCACAGCTGCGCATTTCGCTAACGCTCGTGCTCCTACGAGTTGGACTCTGCTATGAACTGGTTTCCTTGGGAATGGGAATGAAAATGCAACCTTTCCATCACTAGCCTCTTCCCCTCTTCCGGAGTGAACAAGTCCACTTCAAGCCGATGCCTTCTTTATGCAGCGTCTCCCCGGGAACAAACCATACGCAGAGGGGGTGGCCGCTGGTATCAAGTGTTGCAATTGTTTCAGCTGCAGTTCTGTCAATGTAAACAGTCAATGAAAAGTGCGCATATGTCAATGTGATAAGAATATATGCATAAATTAACTGGAAAATCAACGCTAGTCATAAACAAAATCGGGACAAATGTGTTGTCAAACTGAAATAAGTAGCGAGCCATCAGAAATAACAAACAAAGCAATATATAAAACCCCAGAATGTTTTGTGGACTATAGCTAAGGTTTATTTATAAGATTCTCGTTTATCAGGACAACCTTGGGCGGGGGTGGAGTGTTGATGCGTGGACGTGGATCGTATCCCTCGAATACTCAAAACACTTTAGCGCTACAGAAGTAGCACAGAAGGATGAGAAACGATCTTTTTAAAATGCAGTGTGTTTTCAACTGTTGCAAAGTTATCTAATAAACAAAATATTACATGCCAGATCTGCAGAAGCAAACTTGTACATTTCTAACAAAACTTCATAGGGTGCCTCAAAGTCGCTACCAGTGGGTAGGAGGTTTGTAGCGCAGCGGTGACATCCTTGTCAGCGAGCTGTAAAGCTCTGAGTTCGAGCCCGTAAAAGGTGTACGTACGTGTAAAGTGGCCAATCAAGTTGGTTACCTACCTAGTGGATAAGAATGGAGGAGTTTCCTAATCAGCTATCATACACAAAGCATGACAAATTACTGCAATACTTTATCCGAGAATTGGAGTTGAGGAGAAAAGACAAAAACCCCAAGGGATCTTGTGAACAGTGGCTTGTCACAATTCTAGTTCATTTATAATTGCAGAATTCCACTACTAATATGGGAATTTGGAAAGTGGAAAAGTTCAGGGATGGTTTTGTGTTTCAATTATTTACAATGAAAATTAACTTTGTACATTTGTTGTAAAACATCCAGATTCAAATGGTATAAGACACCAAAAGTGAAGTAAGGATTTTGTAAAATATCTATTTCCAATCTTGAGGTGTGAAACCAAAGGTAACCCACATGTTGGGTTAAAAGGTTTTATGGTTGCAAAAGTAAATTTGGTCAGGTATAGGAGGACACAGACAGGCTGGCAGAATGCAGTGAACAGTTATGATCAAGAATGCATTGCCTGAGAGAATAGTGGAGAGCAATGGTTCCTGTAACCTGTGGGGCTTCACAACAGCTATGAACCCCACACACTCTCCATCATCTTCAACTGTATGACTTCAACTCTGGTTTAAATATATTACACACAAAACTCAAAAGCCCAAGTGAAGCAGCACTTTACCTGCATTTCCCTCAATCTAGTCCACTATACTTGCTGCTCACAATATGGTCTCCTCTACATTGGGGAAACAAAGCATAGACTGGGTGACCACTTCACAGAACACCTACATTCTGTCCGCAAAACAGACCCTGAGCTTCCAGTTGCCTGCCACTTCAACAGACCACCTAGTTCCCTGGCCAACACCTCTGTCTCAGGCTTGCTGCCATTCTCCATCAAAGCTCAATGCAAGCTTGGAAGAACAGCATTTCTGAAGGAAAAAAACAGTTAACATTTCGGAAATGGTGACCCTTCCTCAGAACTGATGGTGGCTGGGAAAACGTCGGTTTATATGGAGAAAAAAGGGGAGAGGGATGGGGTAGGGAGTAAACAATAGGATAGAGCCTAAAGAGAGAGAAAAATAGTCAGACAGACAAAGAGTTGACAACGATCAGGCTGGGAGGGTGAATAGTTGTTAATGGGGACTATTAGTGACTAATAACAAGTAGTGTGTAATGAGAGGATATATGGTAACAAGGCCTGCTGTGTGGGGTAGGCGACTGGAACATGGGAGAGTTTAGGCCCTAAAATCATTGAACTCGATATTGAGTCCGGAGGTCTGCAGGGTCCCCAAGTGGAAAATGAGGTGTTGTTCTTCCAGCGTTGAGCTTCGCTAGAACACTGCAGCAAGCCAGACACAGCCATGTTGGCCAGGGAACAGGGTGGTGCGTTAAAGTGGCAGGCAATGGGTAGTTCAGGATCTCTTTTGCGAACAGAACATAGCTGTTCTCTGAAGCAGTCATCCAATCTATGCTTCGTTTCCCCAATGTAGAGTAGACCACATTGTGAGCAGCGAATGCAGTAGATTAGGTTCTGGGAAGTGCAGGTGAAGTGTTGCTTCACCTGGAAGGTATGTTTGGGCCCTTGGATACTGGGGAGGGAGGAGGTAAATGGGCAGGTGTTGCACCTTCGCTGGTTGCATGGGAAGGTGCTGCAGGGACCAAAGTTCTAGCGAAAAAGGGTAAATAGGCTGGTCAACAGGACTTTAAACTAGAAAGTGGGGGGGAAACTTTCCCCAGTGGGAAACAAAGCAGCAGGTTAACATCTGTAGTGGTGGATTCAAATACGTGGAAAAATATGAAAGAAGTGACAGGGAAGGAGAACTCAGGAGAGGTTATCAAAGTCTCCAGCACAGACACAAATAGGACAGAGTGTTTGGAAAGGGCTAGCAATCAAACTTGAAACACACTGGATAAACGAATGACAATGGGAAGATGGACGGTTAATACAGGACTGAAGGTGTTATATCTGAATGCACGCAGTACAAGGAATAAGGTAAATGAGCTTGTGGCGCAGATCGAAATTGGCAAGTATGATGTGGTGGGCATCACGGAGACGTGGCTGCAAGGAAATAAGGATTTGTGTACAGGCCTCCAAACAGTAGTCAGGAGCTGGGGCGCAAGATACACCAGGAGATAGAAAAGGTGTGTAAGAACGGCAAAGCCATAGTGATCACGGGGGATTTCAATATGCAGGTGGACTGGGAAAATCATGTTGGTAGTGGATTGCAAGGAAAGGAATCTGTGGGAAGTCTACGAAAGCTGCTTTTTGGAGCAGCTTGTGGTGAAGCCCAGAAGGGAACAGGCAGTACTGCATTTAGTGTTGTGCAATGAGGCAGACTTGATAAGGGAGCTTATGGTGAAGGAACCCTTAGGATGCAGTGATCATAATATGATAGAATTTACTCTGCAATTTGAGAGGGAGAAGATAGAATCAGAGGTAACAGTATTACAGCTGAATAAAGGTGACTACAGAGGTATGAGGGAGGAGCTGGGCAGGATTGACTGGAAGAGGAGCCCGGCAGGAAAGACAGTGGAACAGCAGTGGCAGGTGTTTCTGGGAGTAATTCAGGAGACACAGCAAAAATTCATCCTAGGAAAAAGAAGCAACTTACAGGGACAATGAGGCAACGATGGCTGACTAAGGAAGTCAGGAAAATCATAAAAGCAAAAGAGAAAGCTTATAATGTGGTGAAGGGCAGTGGGAAACCAGAAGATTGGGAAGCTTACAAAGACCAACAGAGGGCAACAAAAAAAAGGAGGGAGAAGATTAAATATGAGGGTAAGTTAGCCAGTAATATAAATGAAGACTGTAAGAGTTTCTTTAGGTATTTAAAGGGCAAAAGAGAGGCAAAAGTGGACATTGGACCACTGGAAAATGATGCTGGAGAGATAGTAGTAGGGAAAAAGGAAATGGCTGAGGAACTGAATAATTACTTCGCATCAGTCTTCACAGTGGAAGACACGAGTAATATCCCAAACATTCAAGAGAGTCAGGGGGCAGAGCTGAGTATGGTGGTCATCACCAAGGAAAAAGTGCTAGTAAAACTGATTGGCCTGAAGGTGGATAAGTAACCTGGTCCAGATGGACGACACCCCAGAGTTCTAAAGGAGATAGCTGAAGAGATAGTGGTGATCTTTCAGGAATTGCAAGAGTCAGGGAGAGTCCCAGAGGACTGGAAAATCACTAACATGACACCCCTGTTTAAAAAGGGAGTAAGGCAAAAGATGGAAAATTACAGGCCGATTAGCCTAACCTTGGTCGTGGGTAAGATTTTGGAGTCCATTGTGAAGGATAAGATTTCTGAATATTTGGATATGTAAGGTAAAGTAGGGTAAAGTCAGCATGGTTTCATCAAGGGGAGGTCATGCCTGACAAATCTGCTAGAATTCTTTGAGGAAGTAACGAGCAGGTTAGACCAAGGAGAGCAAATAAATGTTATCTACCTGGACTTCAAGAAGGCCTTTGACAAGGAGCCGCACAGGAGGCTGCTGAGTAAGATAAGGGCCCATGGTGTTAGAGGCAAGGTGCTAGCATGGATAGAAGATTCGCTGTGTGGCAGGAAGCAGAGAGTGGGGATAAAAGGGTCTTTCTCAGGATGGCAGCCGGTGACAAGTGGTGTTCCACAAGGGTCAGTGTTGGGACCACAACTTTTCACTTTATACATTAATGATCTGGATGAAGGAACTGAGGGCATTCTGGCTAAGTTTGCAGACGATACAAAGATAGGTGAAGGGACAGGTAGTATTGAGGAGGTGGGGAGGCTGTGGAAGGATTTGGACAGGTTAGGAGAGTGTGTAAAGAAGTGGCAGATGGAGTACAATGTGGGAAAGTGTGAGGTCATGCACTTTGGTAAGAAGAATAAAAGCATGGATTATTTTCTAAATGGGGAGAAAATTCAGAAGTCTGAAGTGCAAAGAGACTTGGGAGTTCTATTCCAGGATTCTCTCAAGGTAAACTTGCAGGTTGAGTCAGTAGTCAAGAAGGCAAATGCAATGTTGGCATTTATTTTGAGAGGACTTGAATATTAAAACAGGGATGTACTCCTGAGGCTTTATAAGGCCCTGGTCAGGCCACATTTGGAGTATTGTGTGCAGTTTTGGGCCCCATATCTCAGGAGGGATGTACTGGCCCTGGAGCAGGTTCAGAGGAGGTTCATGAGAATGATCCCAGGAATGGAAAGTTTAACATTTGAGGAACGTTTGAGGACTCTTGGACTGTACTCACTGGAGTTTAGAAGGATGAGGGGGGGATCTAATTGAAATTTACAGAATACTGAATGGCCTGGATTGAGTGGATGTTGGGAAGATGCTTCCATTGATAGGAGAGA